CTCTGTAAACAGCTTAGAGAGGGCTGAAAGCCCTATGAAGCGGTATATAAGTCTAACTGCTATTGCTATTGCTAACCCTGCTATCACCTGGTATTGTGATGTCTATGATTGTAATCTTATTTTTCTCAACCAGTGGTGGTTAATAATAATAATAATAGTAATAATAATAGTAATAATAATAATAATCTGTTCTCAACACAAAACAGCTCTTTTTCCTCTCTGTTCCAGGCATAACTACAACTGCCTGTAATGGTTCTCCCCCCATTTCCACTACCCTAAATAGTTAAGGCTCTTTCAACAGGCAGACCGAGTGAGATTTTTTTACGGGAATGCTTGGGGAGGGGGAGCATTTTTGAGCGTGCTTCGCTGGGGCGGCCTCCAACGAATCAATCTGCCTGAATAATTCCCAGGGGGCTCATTTTCAGTCTCTACAGACTGCAAACACGTACGCCTGTTTCGGGTGGCGGGCAACTGGAGCAGAGAAAATAATTACAGTTTGAGAGGAGGGGGACAGGATTTCCCCCTGCTGCTTCTTCGTCAACAAAATTGTCTTAATAAGCATGTGGAATCAGAGGCTTATACCATGCCCTAGGGAGCCCTGGTTTTCCCAAATCAAAATATTGTGTCCTTTTTGTATATCAATTTTTTTTTAAATGCAAGGGTTCCCCCCAATTTTTCTTTTTTTTTTTTAACTTTTCCTTAAAAAAACAACAACGTGTATTTATGTCAGGGTAGATTTCATTTAAATTGAGTTTGATTTAAATCTCTACTAAATCACTACTTGATTGAAATCATAATTTTTAAAGAGCAACTGTCCTCTCTGTCCCGCAGCAGCTCCTCATCTGACCCGCTGTTGACGGTTGCAGAATATTCAGCCTCCTGCTACCTACCGTATTTTTCGGAGTATAAAGCTCACCTTTTTCCCTCAAAAAAGAGGCTGAAAATCTGGGTGTGTCTTATAAACTAAATACAGCATTTTTTGGCCTCCTGAAACCCCACCCCCTTTGCAAAAATGGCCGCACATATCCTTTAGGAGGCTTCCAGAGTGCTCCTGGGGGCTGGAGAGGGCAAAAATGAGCAAAAAACAGGCCGGTTTTTGCTCATTCCCCCCCCCCCCCGGCAAGGAGCACTCTATAAGCCTCCTAAAGGATATGTGCGGCCATTTTTGCAAAGGGGGTGGGGTTTCAGGAGGCCAAAAAATGCTGTATTTAGTTTA